GGCAGGGCGAGGGGAGGGGCTGGCCTCTGCAAGCCTCGGCGTGCTCGGGGTACACCCATCTCGCGACCATCCCACCAGGTAACACTGCCAGGCGTGAGGGGCGACTCGCCCCACACTGGTTCCCCCTTAGCCATGCTGGGGGGCGGGGGCCAGGTAATGGTAGCTCTCTGCTGGCGGTGCCGGCTGCAATGGCAAGGATGCAGCGGGGATGGGAGGACTTGCAAAGGGATCGCAGTGGGGTCGGTGCTGGGGAGATTGCCAGAGTTGTGTTGGGAGCCAGGGGAGGGAGGGGAGCTCTTCGAAGAATACATGCTATGGGCCCGGTGGGGGAGGCAATGAGATCCCATTCCCAGTCCCATCCATCTGGCAAGGCTGAATCACGGGTGCTTGGCATTGTAAACACTGGAGGTGGTGAGATACCAAGAGCTCTGACCATGGGGCACATGGTCCAAAGGGTCCCATTGAGTGTGCTTTTGTCTGCTGTGCTTTGCTGGCTTGTGGGGTCTCTGCAGGACCATGGGTACAAACCTTTACTCTCAGGGATGCCATTTGGACCAGAATGCTAATGGTTTGGGGGGAAAAAAAATCTTGTGGTGTGATTTTTCTGGCAAGTCTGTCTCCAGTGAGGTCTCTAAAAACAGCCTCTGTCCTCTTGGGGTGAGTTGGGGTGCATGCTAGATGCAAAAATAGAGCTGGATTCTGCATACAGAATTTTAAATTAAAAAAAAAATAAAATAAAAAAAGCAAAGGTTTCAGTCAGGCACACACAGTTTTTTAGGGAGGTAACAAGAAGGATAAAAGTATGCTTTTGTTGCCTCTTTGGGAAATGGGTCATCTGGGTCTCCTGTGTGGAGGAAGAAATATGAACAGTGAAATCAGTTGTGTTTGCACCCAGCTGAGAGGATCTGGCAGTTCTTCTCGTGCCTTCAGCCCTGGAGCTGTCATGCCCGAAGCCAGCCTGGGTGCCCACATGTGGTTATAGCTTCTGCAGCAATTACCGATGCCGGCCGACGTGGAAGAGCTCGGGGGGCCCTGTAGAGCCCTCCCTTGTGCCCGCTACTGGCAGAGGCACGCACAGAGCCTACTCACATGACTGCACCTACAGCAAAACTAATCTGGATTTAATTGCACAAGGAGGGACTGACAGTGCTTCATCCCCCTGCTGTTATGTGCCTGCTGTTGTCCATCACGGCTCCCTCTAGCAGTCGCATTTCCCCTTCATCAGCTCCCTCTGCCTCTTGTTACCTGGTACTGGTGGAGTAACCATTGCTAAAATTGCTCAGTAACTGCTGGAAAATTCTCCTCCAATTTTTTTATATGTGTTTGGACCAAACAGCTTTCATGGTTTTCAGAAAACCCAAGAGACTAATGGGGTGTTCTTTCTTTCTTTTTCTCTCTCTCCTTTTTTTTTTTTTTTCCTTGGGGGTATGTGTGTTTCTTCAGTGATGCAGGTAATCTCAGAATGCCCCTCTGGCTCACAGATTTCAATGTTGCAGAGTTTTCTGAGAGCTAAGGACACAGCCATGTGCAAGTATACCTGTAACCAAGAGTAACTTCATCTCTAATCCCTGATGCTGATGCCTCCCTAGTACTACAGAGGCATTCACGTAGTGGAGACTTTGCCCGGTTTTCCTACAGCAGAGTAAATGCTGCTCCCGTCTATAAGGATGGGACACAGAGCTTCAGAGGTAGAGAGGTAAAAGCCAGTTTCACAGCCAGGAGTAGCCCCCAGGCTGGTTCATCCCTGGGGACACACCTGGCCCACCAGGCTGTGTAGGTCCCTCAGCCCCTCATGGACAGCTTCAAATCATCAGACCTGCGTGGTCAGCATGGTTCTGCAGAGCAAGCGTAAAGCATCTGCACATGGGGATTGGGTAAGGAGGAGAATTGAGGAACAACACTTTGAGATGGATAAAACGGACCCAAAGGAATTGGCATGACCCTTCGTGGTGGGCCAGGTGCATCTGAGGTCAGTCTGTGGTGTTGAAGCTGTGTGCCAAGCGAGGAGACTTTGATGGCCAGGATTAGTCAGTGGCTGTAAGGAGCCTGGGACAAAAATGGAGAGGCTGCAAATGAGAGCTTTTCAGGTAGCATGGGGCTGACCTGACTCAGCCTTTCGCAGTACCTGGAGGGTCCGCCAGCTGTACAGGCAGCCCGCACCCCAAGCAGGGAGCTGTTCTGCAGGAGCTGCCGGGAATGGGGCCCGCAGCTGCCCACGGCTCGACGTGGCTGAAACAGGATAGCAGAGCGGCAGAAGCAAGGAGGGGCAGGTGTCTGGGGGAGACAGGGACCTCCTTGATCTCCTTTCCTTTGCTTTCCTCTGGTCCCTCCTTATTCTGTGCTGTCAGCCTCTGACAGACCTCTGCCTCACCCCACCGTCACTGGTGTCGGGCAGGGACCCAGAGGTGAAGGGTTACATGGCTTTTCGTTACTGAGCCCAGACTGGAACGAGTTAGCTGAAAAGCCATGCTGTTTCTGTGGGGATGTTTCAGCTGAACAAGCTGGGGCCCTATCTGATGTCCCAAAACAAGAAATGGAGGCAAATTACCTGGTTTCTCTCCCCCCTCTCCTCAGGTAGCCTGTGTGAATTCTTAAAAATTGGTAGCTGCTGAAGATTGAGGGAAAAGTGTTAAGAAGATAACCTATAGAAACAGTACGAGAGAAAAACTCAAACTAGCTTGGGGCCTCACTTACTTGTTTTTCTTTCTTTTTTCCTCCAGAGTCAACTGTTTTGTCTAGGATCTGCTCATCACCACCACTGCTGAACTTCATCCTATACTTACCGCTGGTTCTGATCCTCCTCCTGGCCCTTGCTGTCTTCTGCTGGTACTTCAAATTTGGAAAAAGCAAGAAGGGCAACATCGCAGGAGACGAGCTGATGGAACTGCAAGGGGCTGGAGGGGTTAAGAAAACTTAACTGATCTATAATGGCAGATGTAACTCGAAGGAGTGGAGCTCACCAGCTGAGGAGGACTGAGTATTTGCAGAGTGGCTTTTTATTGTTTTGTAGAAGCTCTTGCAATGAATCCTTGAAATTGCGTGTTTACTTTCAGTGGAATGAAGTGGCTTTGAATTACTAAGCAAATAGGGTTTTCATAACAGGTATTCCTGTCTCTTAGGTTAGGTACCTGCCCGTTTCACGTGCTGTTCATTGTGGTATATTTGAGGTCCTTGCAGTATGTGTCTCCCACTGTGGATGGAAGTGGTGTTATTCCTCTACAGGTGTAAGGGAAAAAACAGATCTTTTTGCACTGGGACACGAAAGTATCAAATTCCTGTGCATTTTAGATGATTTGACAAAGTCTATGTGGTGTGCAGGCTAAAAACCAGTGGCAGAGCTGGAAATGGAGTATTGGTGTCCCATTTAAGACACTGCACTTGCCTTTGCCCACCCTTTGCTGGGGAAGCTCTCAGACACTGCTGTCCCCTCGTTCTGAGAGCGCTTGTGCGCAAAGAGCATCTTCTCTGAAAGGAAATGGGTCTTCATCAGAAGACCTGTCAAAGGATGATGAGGACTGAGCAAGGCTGGCTGGGGCTGAAGAAAGTCCATGCCAGGGGTACCCCAGCCATCCACAAAAAAATGAATCCTGTTGATCCAATAAGGGACTCGCATGGAGTCTTGAATCCCAGAAGGAAGCAGTGGACACCAAGTCATCTTGGAGATGAGTGTACAAAGACTTTCCAGCTCCTTCCTTTGCTGGGACTGCTGTAGGAGAAGACAGCATCCAGCCCCTCGTGCTTGGGCTATCCGTGGGTCGGGAAGCTGCACAGCTTCTGGAGCTGCCAGGTTGTACCACATAATAAAAACGCCATGTGTGTGCCTGCAGAGCAGCTCCTCTATGCTCTGGGATGCAGCTCAGGCTCGCCTTTTCAAGGGTGAGGGAGCTCTGCTACCTGAACGCTGTCTGGCTGATGCATTAGAGGAAAGGAGATTTCAATCCAGTCCCTATAGGTCAAGGGATACTCAATCCCTGGTGGTGCAAAGTGGGATGTGGTCGCAGCGAGTTATAAGGTCAGGCATCAGGGTGACACTCAAAGCACCATCCTCAAACAAAAGCAGCCGTATGGAAATCATGGCAGATGTTTATGAACCTGCTTCCTTTGACCAGGGGGAGGGTTGGAGGCACCACAGCACCTCTAGGTTCAAGTCCTTCACTTTCCTTACAATTAGAAAAGCTGCCTGCCCTGTATCCCGAGGAACTGGGAGATGCTTCAGTCCCTTTCTCCTTGAAAAAGCACTTTTTGCATAAGTTTGAAGACTACTGCTCCTGTTCCCCTGTTCAGCCACCTCGTGTCTGTACTGGCTGGCTCCAGCTTGCTCAGCCTTTCCCTGCGGGTTATGTTTTCAGGACCTCACGCAGCTTTTCCCTTTGCCACCCTGACCCCAGCTGCCTCTCCCGCGGCGTGAGTGCTCAGAGCCACACATGGGGCTCTCTGCAGAGAGGTTTCCCCCCTGCCTTCTGGGTTACGTCCTGTTTACACATCACAGTGGGATGTTTGATTTTCTGTGTGCGTGTGACAGCACGCACCGTTCGTGCTTGGCTCGTAATCGGCAGGCTCCCCTCCTGCAGGTTTGCCGTCTAGCAAGTCGTTTCTCCACTGTGTGTTCAGGCTGTTGACTTTTCCCGTCTAATTGAAGCACCATTTGCACGGCTCTGTTGAACAGCCTTCTGCACCAGTTTGCGAAAGATCCTGCTGTCTGTTTGTCTTAGTCCTGTCTCGATAATGCTTTAACTCATGGAGCGGTTTCAGTCTGTTTTGACAGAGAAGCAGATGCTCCCAGGACATTAAACTCCTACAGGTTTCATGAAAAGTGGTAGCTGGATGAATGAGAGGAGGCAGGTGAGTTGTCCCACCAAGGGAAGGCTGCAGTGCGAGCTGCCTGACAGCCAGCCCTGAGCCAGCCATATGCTGGCTGCCTGGTGCCCAGCTCGTAACGAGGGGATACAGAAAGGAGGTGTGTTAGGGTGCGGGAAAGGAAAGGAGGAACCATTTTTCACCATAAAATATTAACAATCAATCTGTGGACATAGTTCATCTACCAGTTCTGGTGCTGTCCCTCTGTGTCTTACTTGGATCATTTCCTTAGCTTGCCTGTAAGAGCACCTTGGCAGCATACTTCACAAGCCTTGGTAAAGTCAAGAATACCTGATGCCTACTGCTTACCCCTTCTCACAAGGCTTGCAGCCTTCTTGCAGGGGAGATTAGGTAGGTCTGACATGCTCTGTTCTTGTTTAAAACAAACCATAAATGTTTCTTTTCTTTTTTTCTTGCGTTCTCCTAGGTGTTTCTAAGTATTTTGTCCCTGTATCTCCCTAAGGATTGCAGTTAAGAAGATGCGAGTGTTCAGTTTCCCCTTCTTTTAAAAAATAATTTTGCCCTTTTCTTGTCACTTGGTGTCTCACGCCTCCTCAGGTTTTACCACAGCAAACCACTGACAGCTTGACAGCCCATTCTTTATGTGTCTTAGGATGAACCTCATCAAGAGCAGCCTTCTGCTCAAAAAAATCTAACTTACTTAGGTTGCTAACCATTACCAGGGTGCTGGGGTGGTGGCATGGGACAACCCCTACCCTGCTGCAGTAGTCACTTGTGTGGGTCAGTCTCCATAAGCTGCACAAGCCCTATGGGTGACCTGGCTGGGTTTGGTGCATCCCCCAAGCCCACTCTCGTCCCTCAGTCAGCCACCTCGGCACGCTGTTGCAGGTCTGTGGAGGCATCTTTGCTGCCACCTGATCTTCATGTAAAAAGCTGCAAACTCTACTGCAACATGAGATTTTTGCATCTGGTGGACTAGGAGAAGAGAGGGAGGTTTCTCCGTCAAGGGGACACTTCTGTCCCGTTTGTGCTTAGTTAACTGAGGCCTAGGTAGTAGCTTTCTATTCATGCAGGTTTAGGGGCTTTAATTTAAGTAAAGTGTGCCGATGGCCTTGATGACCATCTTCTGGGATGGCCCCTCTCGAGCAGCATCTCTTCATTCTTTCCTATTAGCTTTGAGCTGGTTTTGAAATTTGACACTCCATTTTCTTCCTGTGATAAAATATTTTAAAACTGGAAATAAAAGATGGAGTTTTGATACATGCTTTAGTCTCACTTGATGCCATTTTGCATTCCAGATAGTTCCTGCAGCCCCTGCTTGTTTCATGTGTCCTTCAGCCTTGGTCTTTGTCACTAAGACAAAGCAGAACCACTCTTAAGACTTTTAACCTTCCTTAACCACTAAGAAACTGCTGCATCGTATCTGCCTCCTGCTGTTCTTTGGGTCCTTCTCCTCCAGTCCTCCGCTGCCTCCCTCTTTTCTGCCAGCAGATAATATGGGACTACAGTCCTGTTGCACAGGGCAGGAAAAGGCAGCCTTTGCCCTAAAGCGATGCTTTCCAGGGCGGCAGAAGCAGTACAAACCGTGGGGCTCGAGGTGGGAAGCGTGTGTGAGAGGTGATGCAGTAACTGGCTCGCTTTGCTACCTCAGCAAGCAGGAGGGACCAGCTCAGCATCCTTTCAACCAGCTGCGCTCACCAGCAAAGAGGCTGGTTGTGGTGGTGTGAGACTGACAAGATTAATGCTCCCCTACCTGCTTAAGCATTTAAAAAAAAGAAAACAAAACCCTTTTATGGATACCGCTTAAACTAAACACAAGCTTTTTTCCCCAGCAGCTCCTATTTAGAAATGCAAACTGGAAAGCAAGGTCCAGACACTACTTGCTTCTGCAAGCTGAACAGGAAACAGAATACCACAAGCAACAACTTCGAGCATGCGCTCATCTGGGCTTTCTTGCTTTCATTCATTCATTGCATTTTTTTCTGTATGTTTCTAAGGAGTTACATGTCTATGAGTGACTCTGGCAGGGAGCTGAGCCCTCCTCTACACGAGCCCTCCGGGGACGTGTGGGCACAAGCTCGCTACTGCCGTTGCAAACCACTCACCTCCATCAGCAGCTTTATTTAAAAGGAATATTCCGAGCTGGGGATATTTTGTCTTTTAATTGGTGCTGTGCTTATGCCCCCTGCAGGCACCCGGTGCAAGTCGTGTGCCTGGGCTGCTGGGCAAGGCGAGGGGAGAGGGATGGGAGCTGCTCCTCGGGCATCCCCGGCGCCTGCCCCCACGGTGGGTGCTGCCCTCAGCCCCCTCCTTGGGGACCATCATGAAGGCAAAGCAAAATGCGAAGCAGGGGGTGACCTGATCTCTGGCCTTGTGCCTGCTGTTACCTGCTCCTTGCAGGGGTGGGAGGAGGGTTCGTTTCTGGGACTAAGCGTGAAGATTTACCGGTGAGGGGTGAAACCGTTGGTTTTGTTGTTATTTTAAGCGTGAGGCAATGAATGGGTGAATGCTGGGAGCAGTGTGGCAAACCACGAGGGGCTGTGACTCCTCGCAGCCCCCTCGTGGGATGCTAATGGGGAGGAGAGGCTCACTGTCCCATTTGAAAGAGAAGGGCCACAACCAGTCGCTGTTAAATGTGGCAGTGATGCCTCACGCGGCGGCCGTGGGATAAAAGGCAGAGGCAGCCTGAACTGCAAAGACGTTTCATTTCCCTGGTAATGAGGGAGACACACTCTGGCAATGAAACCGGGGAGAGAGAGACCATGAGATGCTAATTTCTGTTCCTGCTGCCACTTTGATCTGAAGCAAATGCCCGTTTTAAATTGCAAGCGGATGCAAGTCAGATATCATCCAGCCAGTGGCTTACAGGCTTAATGAAGTGGGACGTACGCTGCTGCCTGATAATGTTGAGAGAGACAGGCAATTCAGAGAGGAATTACTGAAGGTCTAAAGAGACAGGGAGGAAGGATGCGGATGTCACGGGGTAACTCTCACCGCCATCGGCATGGCACAGGGTCCCCTGTTTTCTGTCCTTGGGAAGCTATGCCTGTGGCTAAGCCCCTAGCCCCTCTGTGCCTAGAGAGATGGGTATGAACATAC